GGGACTCGATCCAGGGACTCCAGGATCATGACCTGAGCTGAAGGCAGTCGCTCAACCAACTGAGCCACCCAGGCACCCCAAATATTCTTTTTTTGATATTATACATAAACCACACTAAAATGCCTTTCATTAAGCAAAAGGCAACATTTAAGAGGCAGGGAATTTTAATTAAGTTGGCATAGTTAAGACCAAAAAGATAAAGTAGACATTGCCAACTTAACTTCAGCCCTTGCCTTTCACAGGCTACCGAACACAACTTGAAACATAGCTGAGTCTTGCTGTTCTATGAGATGGTGAAGGGATTTCCTTTGTATTTAAATACATTACTATAACCAGTTACATAAATCTAAATATAAAACCAATCTCCTATAAGTTAGGAGATGGCATTTACCATCTCTATGAAAAGCTGAACATTACTAATCAACTCCAATCATATTTTTAGAAGGGGAAAACATGACAGCACTTGCTGAACCAGAATTACTATCAAAGTTCAAAAAGCTGATCCTATTCATTTAACCACGAGCCCAACTTATTTAAATCAGGATCGTCCAAAAGAAGTAGTCTATCATCCATTCAGATCTGGATTCTGGTGTATGAGATCAATTTAAAGATGGTACACATACAAAAGTCGCAAGACATTTTTGTTTTGTAATAAGTAAGGCAATGGCCAACTATTACTCCTTATTAGCTTTTTTAAAAAAGATTTTATTTATTTATTTGACACAGAGAGAGAGACAGCGAGAGAGGGAACACAAGCAGGGGGAGTGGGAGGGGAGAAGCAGATTCCCCGCTGAGCAGGGAGCCCAATGTGGGGCTCGATCCCAGGACCCTGGAATCATGACCTGAGCAAAAGGCAGACACTTAACCAACTGAGCCACCCAGGCACCCCTCCTTAGTAGCTTTTTTGAGATAAGCTATCAAGTCTGCTCTTTTCCTTGTCTCCTTAATGCCAGCAAAGATAATTTTTTTTGTTGTTGTTCCAGGGATGTACTTCTTGGGATTCTCCAAGAATGTTGTTCTTTTTGGTATCCATGTAAGAAAATCTAGGGGCCTGACGCCCAAATAAACCATGGAGATTTGGCCCAGTCTTGTGCTTGCCTCCCTCTTCCATGGTATGTCACTGGGCACATTTCTGAACAAAAGACTTGCCTTTCTCAATATCACCCATTTTTTTTTTTCATTTTTTAAAAGATTATTTATTTATTTGAGAGAGAGCGAGAGTGCATGAGCAGGGGGTGGGGCAGAGGGAGAGGGAGATGGAGAGGGAAAGAATCCTAAGCAGACTCCCTGCCGAGTGCAGAGCCTAATGTGGGGCTTGATCTCAAGACCCTGAGATCACGGCCTGAGCTGAAAT